ATTGATCATCACTTTCTCCTCTACCCACAGATATTTTCTCTAGTGTCTGTGAAACAGCCTAAGCTATTAATTTCACTTATCATGCCCAAATAAATCTTTTCAGAGGTTAACATTGTAACAAACAATAAGATATGAAACTTAAATTTTTACACCAAAATTTGGGGATCTTTTCTATTAGAAACTAACAAGATTACGATACATGAGACATATCTCAATCCTGTTAGTTTCCAGTAGAAAGTATCTCCAGATTTTGATGTAAAAATCTTTCATGTCTTTTTGCCTCACGTTTCATTAATTTTTCGATTCAATAATGTTTTTGTTTTACTGTATTTTGCCTTATGTCTGCTGTTTGCTGTGGCATTTGCTAGAAATATTTAATCTCGTAAATTTCTCTGCTGTATTCGGAGTAACTATTTACTCAGAGTGCTACGTAAAACGCAGAATACAAAATGATCAGGCTAGCATAATGCTAGTTTGATCATTTTTGGAGATTTATTAAATAATAGCTTAATCATTTCTTCATTCATACTGATCATTTCTGAAGCACAATCAATTTAGATTAAGTTGTTTTGGCATGGGAAATATTACAAGATTCAATGTGTAAGAAACTTCTTGGCTCCCATAACCTCTGCTTTCCCGATCAATAAAGTGTGTAACTAATCAGTTTTCAAACTCGTTCTGAGGTTTATTCTATTTTGATATTAATTTGAGTTTTACATGTTATGGGATTCCGTTTTGCTTGCGAAATTATTTCTGCAATTTTCTAATTACCGTCTACCTCTTATAAAACAGAAACTTTCAGGGTGCTTAAAAAAGTTGCTTTTTAAAAACGAAATTAATTAAAAAACTTAGATTAACATCTTCTACACAGGTTATTCATTTACTGCCCAGATAACGTAACATGTCTTTCACATGATTTATTCGTTAGATTAAATTATTTTTTTTAAATACTAATACAAATAAAACAAACTGGTAAAACACTATCATTTACTTAAACGAAACACCAAATAACTTTACCTCGTTCTCAGATATAAAGCGATTACAGCAGTAGCGTCAGTAATTCGGCTCAACATCGTGTCGAATTGAGCTGGGATGCCAAGTACAGGTGGTTCATACCTTGCGGCTTCATCTCCATGCCAGAGTTCATCATTCGTACTGGCTGGTGAGTGGCAGCGTGCCAGTTTCTCAGCAACCCGTTTCCAGATGTTTGCAATGGGTGAGAGATATAGAAAACGTACTGTCCAAGGCAACAGTCCAACACCCTCTGAACTGAGAAAAATCCAGACAGCACGGGTAACATTCGCTAGAGCATTATCATGTTGAACGAGGGCGCACCGCAGGCCTCGAAGCTAGGGCACAACCATGAACCTTAACACGACAGAAAAGTATCGCTGCCTGTCCACATTACTGTCTATGCGAACAAGAAGTGAGTGAGATGTGTACCCAGTGGCACGTCATACTAGCATATCAGGTGATGATCACCATACCAAGGTGAATGCAAGCTGGCAACATTTGTTCTCGGTGCCTCCTCACACTGATACTATTATCATGTTGTTCATCATGATTCGTCTGAAAAGATGATGTGGTGCCATTCATATGTTCAATATCGTCGTTCATTGCACAACTATATAGGCGCACCCGTCTCTGCTGTAGGGTCAAAGGAAGCAACAATGATCTCCGGGCCGAGAGTCCCTGGTGCTGAAGACACTGTCCAAAGAGACACTTATCGTCTTTCACACGAGTTAAGCTCCTGACTCCGGGTACGTGATGTGGCTGTGCGATAGCGTAAGGCCGAGAGGACAACATGTCTGTCATCTTTGGGGCTTTACTGGACCAAGAAAATTGAGGTTCTGTATGGTGTACAGAATGGCCCTCCTGCACTATTGATTCTGCTTTCGTCTGACAGTTAGTTATAAGATCCCGGCCAACACGAGCAGTAATATCACAAAACGATGAACCTCGGTCGCGATAGGCCACTATCCTGCCGCGGTGAAATTCCGACACATGCTGTTAGGAGTTCCTCCATCTTACAGAAGACGTAACACGACTTACACACAAACAACAGATGTTCAGAGGCAATTTCCAGTTGAGAAACCCACTTGCCATTTATACGCGATTTAGATGGTATCTCTCATACCTGCTTTGAGCGAGTGCGCTGAAACGCGAATCATCTCCGTAAGCCAACATTTGGTACCTTTCATACAAATTTGGTGTTTGTTGTATAGCGCTTTCATGGTGAAGCAATTTTAATGGCCAGCAGTGTATTTATTGAATTTAAGCAGGCTTTTGAAGAAAATTTATGTTATCCTTATAGAAGAAGTAACTTCTTGAAAAATGTTTTCTATTATACCTATCTCATACAATGGAAAGTTTCTAACTGTTATATTAAAAGAAATATATGATGTGTCATATTTTGACCTACTTTGGTTTGCTTTGTTTATTGGAATGTATCCTAGGAACATATATGAGCAAATAAATTATTCAGACTTTAAAGAATGCGCCTTTATAATATGTTAAGAGGTATTTCTCCCACTTCCCTAGCGTGCCTTCGTGGTGTAACGGTAGCACGCTGGGCCGGTATTCCAGAGGTCCGTGGTTCGATTCCTGGCGAAGGCGGTTGCATATTTTTCATCTTTTCTGCTTCCAATTAACCTAATGACTTTACAATGTTATCAAATATTCATTTTGTAATGGTAACCTTGTACAATTAACATTATAGAAATTCCTAAATCTCAAATTCTTATCTATCTATGTATAGTATGGATGTATATATATTTATATATATATAAAGGGAGCTAACCGACTTAAAAAATAATTTTTTAAATCGATAACTGGTAAGTTTCATCAAAAGTATATAATGATACTGTTAATGTAAATGTCCCTTAAAATAAGTCTCTTTCTCTCTCCCCTTTTATTCGTTTTCTTTTGAAAACCTTTTTAGTTACTTTAATCTCTTTTTCTCTGTCTGTGTTGGCAAGAGAAATAACAAAGTCAAATATAAAAAAACCGAAGTTAGAAAGGTCAGATTAGATTCAGAAGCAGTGAAACTGCATATTCCATATGTACTTATACATTTTAAAGTATTCATCGTCGTTGCCATTTGCTCTGCTATTTGCAAAGAAACTCAAATGAATGGATTCGATACAAAGAAGGCCAACGTGGGTAAAGTTTGAAATAGGAATGAATAAAAGCTTTCTACAGTTAAATGTGAAACGAATCACTACACAGGTTATTCTCAGTTTTCATCGCTTCTAACGAAAGAAAAAGAAATCAGAATATTTTTCTGATAAAAGGCATCTTCAGAAAGGCGGTAAACGCCGCCAGATTTATCCTCATAAATTCATTTGAATTATATCTTTCAAAAGTCTGCGCGTTATCTTTATTTTCCCATACCTTTAATAGAGGAAACTGAGGGAATTTAATTCATAGATAAAAAGAATAGGCCTTACTAGTAAAACCCGACTACCAGAACTTTTTACCATCATTTTAAATTCTCTTTCTTCTCCCCGTGAAAAGAATATGTAAAGAATTACCGTATTCCCATACGGGTCCAGCCGGGGTAAAATGGTTAACACGCCCAACTAACAAATAGAAAAAATACAGTTTAAATCAGGGGGAAGGTTTGGTTGGTTTTTCGTGTTTTCTGGTTAGAAAAATCTGACTGTGAAGTGATGCTCGAACCAAGAATGTGTGGTGGACGATAATTTTTCACTAGCTCGATCTGTTCGACAGGGTCTCGGGTCTCTTCCATGCCGCCCTTTAAGTGGGAGAGAATAGGAGATGCTATCCCATTTTCGCTAGTGTGCTCTTTTGATGCAAATAGTTAATACGTCTAACTAGCAAATGATATGTCTGTGGTACAAATCCTGGAGATGGCATAACTGACGTTTCCCGTTTCGAGCTCTCAAAAACACAGTTGACCCTAGAAAGCAAGAAACGAAGTTTTATTCGAGGTACATCAAAACTTATGTTTTCTTTTAAACTCTCTCTTATCAAAACAATGGTAGTTTCATAACTGACTTCTACACCGCAGGTCAAACGGGCTGTTTAGATAAGCCATTTTTGTGGTCCTCTTTATGTATAACATATCTATATTTATTCATATATAATATATATGTATAACACACATATTATTCATAACATATATATATATATATATATATATGCATAACATACATATGTACTCTCTCTAAAAGTCCTGTTAGAAGACATCTCTCCCTAACAGTAGATGCCCACCAATGGCTGAGCGGTAAAATCGCTGGACACTGTTAGCTGGACCTGGGTTCGAATCTCGGTAAATGGGCTGGCTGCACGGTCGGTTTCGTGGTTTTCCCCATGCGTAACGTAGATACGAGCCAATTTTCCTTAGAATGTTCTCTATGAAAGGCTTGGTTTATTTAAATACGGCATAGCACTCTAGGGCTATCTGCCTAAGGAGAGGGATGTCTTCGTGGAGGACTTTCTAAGGGAAACTGGCTCGTATATACGTTACACATGGGGAAAACCACGAAAATGCCCATGCAGCCAGCCCGTTTGCGGGATTCGAACCTCGGACCGAACTACCAGTGTTCAGTGACTTTACCGCTCGGCTACTGGTAGGCCGTTCTCCACAAAAGCTTTCCTTTTCTAAGGAAAATAGCTCTCGCGTGCTTTGCCACAATCAAATAAATCAAACCAATTGTAACAGCAAATCGTCTTCGCAGTCTTGTTGGTATGTGAATAGTCAAGAAAGTCATCAACTAAAGCACGAGAGGCAACGAAACAAGCAATTAATGAAAGCAGAGAGAAATTATATTAGAGATATTTTGGTTAAAAACTGGAGATTTAGCATTTAATAGTTATAGGATTCTAGACTATATGGAAATCGTGTCCTGTCAAACCGCAGTGTAGATGTTGATCCGCCGTCGGGAGAAAACGCACCTATCCGCTGGCAGCGCTACTTAAGCGGCGCAATCAAACCCACGCGGTATGCTTTCGGTCGTCAGCAAGCACTACGAGCGGGAATTCTGGGAAGTGAGGGGCAACCCTTCTCTGTGTCGGCAGAAAGATTCCGCAAAGAGTTCTAAGTTATTATGTGAAAGCGAGCTGAAACGTGGAGCCGCTTTTCTAGGGTTTCCGGGAGGAGGCGCTCTTTTCCTTATTCTCGAGCCACTTAGGCCACGGTCTGCATACAGGCATCTCATTCGGCTGCTCTTGGCTCCGAACCACAGAGAACCGCTCGCATTCGAGTCAGGTAAGTTCTGTCACTCTCTCAATACTCGCGACACTTTCATGCCTCAGGGGTAGGGGGTGAGGACTTTGTTTACTTTCAGAAACAGAGTGTTCGCGCTTGTTCATGACAGTTCTTTCCCCTTTTATTTCGCTATCACAAAATATTTTCTGTCTTTTGTTTCATTATCCTCGAAATTCAAGTTAATTTATCTTTAGAAAAAATAATAAAAGGCCTCGGGACAACGAAAAGTTTTGTCACGCAGACATGATTAAAGATTTTATTTTATCAATAAATGAACGTAACTTTTAAAAAAGCAAATTTCAAAGTAAAGGAAGATGGAAGTCTTTTAGAGAACACTAAAAGCGCTAGTTTAGAATTTTGTAAAAAATGTTGAGCGTTAAGGCATAAAAGATTAGATAAACCTAAATGCCAAAGGCACTAGTGAAGTGAGATATTTAGCTAGGTATAGAGATTTATAGGCTGCAAAGATTAATGCGTCGCTTTTTCCTGCTTATTTATAGACAAATATTTAAAACAGTTTATTTAAAACTTCGGTTTTTATAATTGTTTACTGATTATTTGCCCATTGATAAAATTAAGTTTTAAATATATTGTGAAGGAATTTGCGTATAACAGAATGCTACAAAACTTGTGCATTGGAATAATCAGTGGACAATAATATTTCTAAATTTTTTCGCCGAATGCCAGCTGGCATCAAAACTGGCTTTTATAAAGTACTCATATAAAATTTAACGTCGCAGATTTCGTAGCAATGCATATTTGCAATTAAATCATAAGTTAAATATTAATGTGATAGAGTGGATTTGTGATTCGATTCAATTTTCCGACTTTTTTCACTGCAAAAGCTACTTTCTTTTTAGGTTACCAAAGAGAATTCAGATATTAGTTTCCTTTGACACAGTTCTAAAAAATGCGGGGATATTAAATTAATCAAAAAATAAGAGCATAAATTTTTCTAAAGAGGAATGCTATCGTAATATGAGAGAGGCCACAACAACACAGCAGCTTTTTCAGTTTTGAGATGAATGCCTATTTAATTGTATTAAATACATTTAGAAAACAGTTTATTTGTTGCAGATAATGCATATCAGCAATTAAAGAATTTGGAAAAGCTAGTGTGTTTAGAAAAACGCCCAGAAAAATCCAATGCATGTTTAATAAGTGTTCATTATATAATACTTTTACAGTTAATTTTAACTATGTCTGGAAAAACAACTTTTGCCTTATCCTTTAATAATGTATTCTTAATTAACTGCTGAGTATTTAAGCAGTATTTAAAACGTCTAAAGACAGACTGCTAAAAATGTTGCTGAGCAATAATTATTTATATAAAATTATTCATATGGAAACCATATTCTTCAACATTTCTGAGCATCTTTAGAGGAAAATAGATTAGGAAATTTATGGATTTAATTAAATATTTTTAGAAGAAACACTTGATTTTAAATTTTAGTTAAAATTTTACCTGAAATTCTTTGACCTGGTAATCAAAATTTTATCCTTTTTATAAAATGCATTTCATAAAGCCGAATAATTTATATAAGCTTCTATATATAAAAGTTTTATACATGTGTTTTAGTTAGTTTTTTTAAGATTTAAAATTTCCTGAGTTTGAGGAACATTCTTAGTTGAAACTTTGCCATACCGAGCGAAAATTTCTTGAAATAAATATAGTATCTTTACTTCGTAATTTATTATATATATATAGTTTAACGTTCTTTACTTTATATCATTTATATATGTTCTACTCTTGTTTGGGTGAGCTCTACATTTATATTGGTATACCTAAAATTTTAGCCTGAACTTTTTTTTCCTTCCTCAATACGGCAAAAAAAATTTTTTTAAACGTTTTGTAAAAAGAAACACATGCATTACGTTTCTTGACTACGCACAAATGTATAATTTTTTACAATATACATCGGAAATATATATTATTCAAAATTTTATAAGGATTTAAAAATGATTATTCAAGTTAGCTGAAATATATTTTAAGTTAGATAAAACATCTTTTAAATCTGATGAAACTAATTTTCAATGAAAAATTTTTAATGTATCCTAAAATCCTCTGGAATAAACTAATCATTTCTAAAATTTAATTTTTGAAATTTTGTCCCAATCCTTTTTTCCCCCATTTACAATAAATGTATAAAAGCATTTTTATTCGTATGAGATGCAAAATTAATAAATTTTTACTGAGAAAGTACGATGAGATTATTTAGCTTAAACAAAATTATACGAGTCTACAAGGTACCCGAATTTGTGAAAAATGTTTTCGATGAAAGATGATCACTTGGGTTTGTGTTTAAGTAAAAAAGTAATTTAATAGTCATAGTAATCATGAATAGTCAGTAAGTTTTATGAAAACTATATACAAGAAATTTCTGGTTCTGGGAATTGGAAATGGGATGAAAAACTTGTAATATATTGCCTAATTCTTCGATGTATTCAGTCGGAAGATTTCCAGTTTGGGGTTTAACAGTTTGAGATTCAAGCAGTTTTTACACTGAAAATTTAGTTTTTGATGCTGAAAAATAATTTAAGCTTTCCTTTTTTTTTAGCAGGCTCATCCCTCAATTTTTAATTTCTTTTATCAAACGCTAAGTAAATTTTCTCTTTAAAAAGAGGTCCGTCATTAACAGTTAACTTGAACTTTTATTTTAAACAGGAATTATAGACAGGGCTTGGTTAAATTTATTAAATAAAATAATAATTGAAGTATCTTTAAGAATTATTTCGGAAAGATACATCGATCACCAGAAGATCAAATATCAAAATAAAATTAGCATCTTCACAAAATTGGAAACAATGGAGGCCAGAATCATCTGCATTTAGGTGTTATATATGAATTTAACATTCTGCAGATTCATTCTGCTACTCCCAGTAACCAAAATGATAAAACTGAGCATTTGAAGTCAATTTGTTCATTTTAGTGTTTCGTTTTAAATAATCTAATTTAAAACTTCAGTAAACGATTTATATCAAAAATAAGAATAGAAAAACGTGTTGTGAAAGTAAGTAAAACTAGAAACGAAAAGTCTTGGGGCTTATTTTGAACACTTTAGCGTACTACAGAGCTACGTTGATATATTGTAGCGTAAAATGATGATTATGTGCAGTAGTTTGATAGCGTTTTAGTTGTTTGTGAGTTATTTATATAAATACTGTATTCTGAATTTATGTAACGCGCTCTTGTTTTAAGGTTGAAGAACGGCTTGATTCTTTTCAAGATACTTTTTATTTTAAATTTTATTATTGAAAGAAAAGACTGAAAACTTTCATATTGCTGGTTTCAACTGATTTTTAAAAATATTCTACCGATAAACTTTAGCTTTAGAACGATGATATGGAAGAGAACGAAATGAATAATAAGTGTAATCCTGCAAGCTTAAAACCGAAAAAGGGAAAAAAAAAAAATAGTGTGAAAGAGAGCTATTATTTCTGGTTTTACAAAGTGTTACTCTTATGAGCTTGTTGGATGCATTTTCATTCAAATAGTATGTCCTTTTCTAAAAAATAAATTAATATTTCTTATCATATTTGCATATCTGACAAATTGTGAAAATCTTTCGCAAGATTTGCTAAAATTATTTTAGATGTATGATTTTACGCTTATAATTCGTCCTTTACGGATTCTGAAATGTTTCAGAAAAACCTCCAAATCTTTTCCAGTTTAGCGATTTGTCTCCAGATGTGCATCGAAAGCGCGTACTCTGGGAAGACTTTTGAGTTGACTTTTTAATTTCTTTTTAATTGCTTTAAAAACGATTCCTTCCTTTTCGGAATATAAATTCTTTCTTGTGTGGCACTAAATTTGTCCACTTCTCAATATTCTGACAGTTTTAGATCAATTAGTCTGCAAAAAATTTGTTTCAATGATTTGAAATTGATTTGGCTTTTTTTGATTATGGAAAAGGACTTGAGAGCTATTTCTATAAGAGAAGGGATGCCTTCATGGAGGACTATTTAAGGTAAAGTGGCTTGTAGACACGTTACTCATGGGGCAAATGCAAACACATCCACGCAGCCAACCCGATCGCCGGAATTTGAACTAAGGAACGAACTACCAGTATTCAGTGACTTTACCGCTCAGCCGCTGATGGACTTGAAGGTTCGAAAATTTCTTTTTAAATAACACCGCTGTTAGATATAATTAAACTGATAGCATATTAAAATTAAGTTTTTCAGAAAAATATCATTATAATAAAACATTTTTGTATATAAAACGTCATTAATTTTCATTTCGGCTACATTTAAGTATCTCAGTTCCGAAATTTTAACGACATAATGCTACAAAGTGCAATTTCCGAATTACCTTTCAGTAAAACCATGAAAATTCTACTCTAATTATTACATTAAATATAAGTTTCATTTGACGAATTTTCCACTTTTTATAAGTATCTTTCTTCCTCTGCGTTATGGGCTTGAAGGTTCGAAAATTTCTTTTTAAATAACACCGCTGTTAGATATAATTAAACTGATAGCATATTAAAATTAAGTTTTTCAGAAAAATATCATTATAATAAAACGTTTTTGTATATAAAACGTCATTAATTTTCATTTCGGCTACATTTAAGTATCTCAGTTCCGAAATTTTAACGACATAATGCTACAAAGTGCAATTTCCGAATTACTTTTCAGTAAAACCATGAAAAAGTCTACTCTAATTATTATTACATTAAATATAAGTTTCATTTGTCGAATTTTCCACTTTTTATAAGTATCTTTCTTCCTCTGCGTTTAAAGTTATTCAAAGCAGGGCTGTGGAGTCGGTAGGGAAAATGACCGACTCCGACTCTGACTCCAACTCCTGGAATTTTAATGACTCCGACTCCGACACCTTCATATATATATACGTAAATATGTAAACAGCTTACTTTTTTAATGTAAAAGAAGTAGTAGATGTTACAGATAAAAATTGATGCATAGCAAATTTTTTATATTAATTATCATTTATTATGAAATGGAAAAACTGGCATTAGTAATTTCTAAGAAACAGTAAA